ATGTACATGATAACCACATATTCACTGAGCCTGCTACCATATGTAGTGTGGGTGTTATGGCTCAGGTGTGGAGTGATAGACCATTTTATGACAAATCATACTCCCAATCATTTTTCCCTGCCCACTTGGGGAACCCGAATAATGTCTGCAGTGTCATAGACCTGACTGGAGATGGAACACCTGCTCCACCACATATTTGTCAATCTGAACGTTGTGGAGGCTCTTCAACTGACTACTTGGGATCTTATGTAGGTGAAAGGAAACAGACTTGCCTCCACCTCAAACAAGTTGAAGAGGTTCAAGAGGAAGAAGACGATCAGATGTCCAAAACCAAAGAGGACAACAATCCACCACAAGACAATAACTAATCTTCAGCTCACCTTGATCAAAACTTAGATGTCAATAAATCATCAGAACCAAGTGCGAATAGAACACCAGCTCAACCTCATGTATTTGATGACATAGAAAACATGCTCAATGAAAGACGTGAACAAGGAATCATCAAGGATAATGCTTTAGCCTCTTTGTCTTCTGATAGACCTCCTCCAAGATCATCACCTGCACCTCCGGGTCCAATGTCTCCTCCTCAAGGGCCTATGGTTGATTGTCCTGAAGCACCAGAACCTCTGGCTACAAAGACTCCTACTTCTGTCAATTGTACTGAACCACCGGAACCCCCAGCTTTGAAATCTCCTGCTTTGGTCAATCGTACTGAACCACCGGAACCCCCTGCTTCAAAATGTCCAGCTCAGAAATCATCAGCTGCTTTTCCAGGACCGCCCAAACCTCCTGCTTTGAAGTCTCCCACTGACAATGACTCCCACCTTGCACCACCTAAGCAGTCAAAATATCAGCATGCTCAACCTTTGGAGGAAGAGCTAGCACATTTGGACTTGGACCTACAGACAATGGACGTTGATATCCCGACCCTAGGCCCTTTGCCCAAGATTGATACTCCTCACAGTTATCAGACCTCACCAGGCGATCAATCTCGCTCTCTCTTCCTTCAACAAGAAAATGTCTTTGTTTTGGCCTTCAAAGCCTTCCCCATCCGCATAAGTCCAGGAAAATATGCTGAAGGACGGGACATAGTATTGCATTTGCTCGACTTACAATCACAACATATTCCTCTGCTAGTCAACCCAAGATACCGCTTGCCAAAAGGTGTTGTGTTCTTGGACACTGATATGACATCTGTTAAATTGATAGAAACACCCAACGATCAAGGTGAGTTTTGGAATATTTTTAACTTTTTTGGAGTCTAGTCACTGAATGTGTCTTTCTGCAGGTGTTGATTTCTTCTCACCTCGGGAAGGCAAGTTGCTGTTCCAATCTGGCATATGGAGCCCATGGTTGTATGAAACCAAAGAAGACCCTCCAGAGGATAAGTCCTCTATGGAATTCCAAATTTATCGTGCAATGAAGCCACTTGCATCTCCCTCCGAATATTGACAACGAGAGACTTCTTGTTTATTCCAAGATGCCATTGCTGTTGCTGCTGACAAGGCCATCAGGCACGATCAATTTGCCGCCAATCCTGACTTGACTGACTACGAGAACAGCTTTTGTTTTTTATCACACCTTCTCAACACTCGCCCAAAAATTGGTTCTGCCGGGGTTGTTGC